CCTCGTGAGAGCATATAGTACCTGGACAGCGGATGTTCAAAGCATATGACTGGAGATACTGCCCAATTCATAATGCTGGAAGCCAGGAGTGGAGGCAAGGTTACACTTGGAGATAATACCACAAAGAAAGTGGTGGATCAGGTATGATTGGAAATTTGAAAACTTTTTCATAGACAATGTGTTATTGGTTGAAGGCTTAAAGCATAATTTGTTAAGTATAAGTCAGCTATGTGATAAAGGGCTATAATGTAAAATTTTACCTACTAGCTGCATTATAAGCCTAAATGGGAAAAAATGTTTTAAATTAGAAAAAGGGTAAATAATATTTACATGCTAGATTTAAAATGTATTCATCTTCTACTTACTTTTGTGTTGAAAACTATTTCTGATGAATCATGGCTTTGGCATAGGAGACTTTATCATTCTAGTATGAAAAACCTTAGGAGAATTACCCAAAATAACTTAGTGAGAGGTATACCAAAACTAGACTTTACTAAGGACCACCTTTGTGATGCATGTCAATTAGGAAAACAAGTGAAGTCCTCTTTTAAGTCCAATAAGGATCTTAGGACCAGTAAACTATTGGAAATTCTTCACATGGATCTTTTTGGACCAGTAGGAACTGTAAGTCTATGAGAGAAGATATACGGATTTGTTATAGTGAATGATTTCTCAAGATTCACTTGGGTTAGATTTCTTTTTCATAAGAGTGAATCGTTGAGGAATTTAAAAATTTTTCAATGTGGATTCAAAGAAAACTAGGGAGTGAAATAATTTCTATACAAAGTGATCATGGAAGAAGAATTTGAAATGAAAGATTTAAAATTTTATAAAGAAAAAGGGAATGATCATAAATTTTTCTGCACCTAGAACCCCCTAACAAAATGGGATAGTTTAGAGGAAAAACAGAACATTAATAAAGCCGTCCGAGCAATTGTTTTCAGATTACTCACTTCCTAGATATTTTTGGGCTGAGGCGGTTAGCAACGCATGCTATGTTCTGAGTAGGTGAATGTGAGATCAAATTTAAATAAAATAACCCTATGAGTTGCTAAAAGGTTGAACACTAATTTGTCTTATTTGCATGTTTTGGTTGTAAGGTGTTCATTCACAATAATGGAAAATTATGCACTTAGGAAAATTTGATCCAAAATCAGATGAAGGAAATTTTGTTGGATATTCAAGTGTGGAAAATTTTATAGGTATTCAACAAAAGAACTTTGGCATTGAAAAAACCACACATGTTGTATTTGATGAATCTGGAAATTTGGCTATGGACAGGCCTTGAAGGAGATTGTTGTAGCAGAAGTGAGGTCATAACACATTTTGTTATGATAATTGCTAAGTCATAAGTAGAGCTAAAATGTAGCTCTTGGATGGGACAGTTGTAATGCAAGCAACCCTAAACACAAATCTAAAGCAACAATTACTGCAACAAAAGTAAGGTTATGATGCAAGTTAATTTATATAAAATGGATATAGCATTATATAAGCAAGGTTTAGGGAGGTATTTAGAAGGAGTTGGCTGTAATATAGATATGAAGGGGGGTGATTGACATGTGAATAAAATTACAGCATAAATATAGAAGGAGATGATTATGGCATAAGAGATGTTATGAAGCATATTCAAAAGCAGTGATATATAATTGATACATCATCAAAAATCGACTTGATCGAGCATGAATCTTGAGGCATATTTGAGATTACAACTTCAAAAATTAAATTGAGGACCATCCAAACTCCAATTTCAGCTTATAGTCAAATTATAAGTATCAAGGTAATGAACCCAACTACATCAAAATCGGTCCAATCCGAGCCCAAATGAGCTCAAATCAAGGGCTTAAAGCATATTTAAAAGCTCCAAAGTATTAATTGGATGACCGAGTGATATCTAAATTTGATGTGTTTATAGTCAAATCGAGTGGCTTGACGTGACAAATCCAACAAGACCAAGTTCGCTTATTCCGATATCATTATGAGACTTAAATACTTAACAAAATTCTCTATGATCGAAGGAATCAACATGGGCCATCTGATGGAACACTCCGAATCAACCCTTAATCTTTTTCTTATTTATGAGGTATGCCACTCTTTAAATATAGAAATAGACCCCCTCTCCCCACATAAAAGGGGCTTGGACTTTTGATGGATTAAATCATGAGCTAGATACTCAAGAGAGCTCTGAGACTTGAAGCATCCTGGAGCTTCACCCCGGCACCAACACCGAAGAACCCCCGCCCTACCATTCTAGACTTCTACCCGACCATCTTCAAACCACTGTTCGACCATCAACCACCATTGCCTGCCGACTATGATCCCTTCGACCACCATCGCTCACCAACTATTGTCCACTTTGACCTCTATCGCCCACTAACTACGGTCCCTTCAAGCTGGTCTATCGCTCATCGACTATGATCTCTCCAACAACCATCGCCCACCGACTATGGTATATCTGACCCTTGTTGTTTGTCGAATACGATCCCTTTGACCTTAGTCGCCAGCTAACTACAGTCCCTCAAACATCCGTTTCCCTTCGACTATATATGGTCCCTCCAACCACCGTTGCCTACCAACTACGGTCCCTATGACCTTCATCGCTCCCTGACCCAGGTCCCTTCAACTATCATTGCACCCCAACTATGGTATCTCTGACCTTCATTGCCTGCTGACCTCCATAGCCCACCAACTATGGTCCCTTCGACCTCCTTCGCTTATCGATTATGGTCCCTTTGACCACCATTACCTACCGATTACGGTCCACTAGGATCTCTGTCACCCGCCGACTCCAGTTGCTCCGACCACCATCACCTGCCAACTACGGTCCATCCCTAGCGCTGTCGTTCACCTACTATGATCCATTTGACCTCCATCGCTAGCCAACTACACTGTCTCCTACCTTCATCGTAGGCCGACTATGGACCCTTTGATCTCCATTATTTGTTAACTACATTCACTTTGACCATCGTCACATATCGACTACAGTCCACTCCGACCTCCATCACTTGCCTACTACAACATCTCTGACCAGCGTCGCTCACCAACAACAGTCCACTCCAACATCTTTCACACATTGACTACAGTCCTTTCGACCTCAGTATCATGTCGACTACGATCCCTTTGACCTCCAAATATAGTCTCTCTTACCACCATCACTCGACTATGGTTCTACTAACAAAACTAACAGTCCAAACACTCTCTTAAGAACAACTCTCACATTACCATATTCTTCCAACTCAAATTATGTATTGTGCTTTATATGATGTATATTTTTTACACTGAGCCAATGCCTTCCCCCAAGGAAGAACATCATTTGTAATGAACCTCAAATACTAGTGAATTTTACAACTAGGCAAGGCGGGCCCCCCCCCCCCCTTCAGTGGTTTTCACGTAAAAACTTTAGTGTCTCTTATGAATACTGCAAACCTCTCTCTTTATTAATTTGTATGTGCACTAGATCTTTGTTCAAAGCTAAGACATTAATCTATTTATCTCTATATCACCTCGAAGGTTCCAGTTCGCAACAATTAGAAATTTTTATGTAGAAAGTCAAAGAAGTAGAAAAAATATGGGGCCTCACATGATCACAATAATGCACTATATAAATATAAGTATAATAATATACTCTAATTCCCATTGTCAGGCTTACACAAGTCACAATAATATGATAGGTTGTTGATAGCCAAGCAATAATAGTCGAATGATATATTCAAATAATGGAGACAACAATTGTTGATTATAACATTGATAGTAATCGCTAGAAAATGTAATAGAGTTCTTTTAGCTTTCTCAGCTTTTATACCTCATTATATAGAAAACAAGGCCCTGCATACAACATTTAGGAGGGTCATTTTGACAAATTAAGCTAGAATTAAAACATTTTATCAAAAGGTATATATTAGTCCCTTTAATCATAAATCATTTATTTATCATTTGAGTATCTTAATTATATAAGGGTCAAATGATCTTGGGCTCATTCGATTTATCTTGTTGAATTGCTCAATTTAATTATAAGCATATATTTGAAGATTATTTGGTCATTTAATTAATATGTAATAATTTTTTAAATATATTTCAAATGCTTGTTTTGGGCTCATTTGGATCTGAATTAGATCATGTGTGGGGTTGATGGATTCTTCTCTTCCAGGCATTCAATTGAATATAAGTTTGCTAAAATTTGAGTACGAATGATCTTGAATTTAATTCCACAAGGTTTCAATTCAAATATGTTGCATTGAGATTAGTGTTGATTAAGTGAATTTTTTCACGATATATCTATAAAAAATAACAACTTATAGTTTTTTCTAGAGATGCATCAATATTGACTCGAGAGTAGTGCAAGATAAATCCAAGGATTTTGAACTTTTGGTTGTTTGGTTAGAATAAAATAAAATGCAAATCAATTGTTGATGTACTTGAAATTCATCCCACTACTCATTTATGGTATATTCCAAGTGATCTTCAAATACACTGCATGACATTCTCTATCTATCATTGATTATTGTCTTCCTCGTTGGTCACTACCTGTAACCTACTGCTTGCCGCCACCTATGATTATCACCCATCAATTGTCGTAGAACTCATCGATGTCCTCAAAAAAAGTTTATTCAGAAACAAGTAAAATTTTTTTATTTTATAGCAATCTAAATACAAAGAAATAATCTCCTTAATTTATTTTATGACTAACAAAATATTATAAAATATTTTAAATATAATAAATTTGGATAATTTGTCAAATTCACAATAATTTGATCTTAACACATAGAAATATAATAGTTTATTTTAAAATAATATTACTTTTATAAATTAGAAAAAAATTGGTTATATTTAAAATTATATATAAATCCTGATATATAATTAATATCTATACTTGGAATATTTGCGTATTATTTCCCATACAAATTACTGTTAAAATTAATGCAGCACCAATTTTGATGAATTTGCATTTCACTTGCATCGTTACGGTGTGAGCCTAACATCCATTGGCTCAGCCGCGGTTGTAGAGGAGCCAAATAGGCATGGAAGCTCCCATCGGCGACCCAGAACCGGAGCCGTCGGAGATTGAGTACCTGAGCTACGGCGGCGAGCACCATCTCCCTCTCATAATGAGCCTCGTCGACGAAGAGCTCAGCGAGCCCTATTCCATTTTCACATACCGCTATTTCGTGTATCTATGGCCCAATCTCACCTACCTCGTACGCTTCTACTCCTTCCATCGCTTCTCTCTTCTGGTTTCCCTGACCCTTGCACTTATGCCCATCCTTTTGGCCTTACCAGGCTTTTCACAGGGGCAAGTGCGTGGGCACTGTGGTGTGCAAGATGGGGGAACACCGCAGTACTTTCAGAGGCTACATCGCGATGCTAGTCGTTATCAAACCTTACAGAGGAAAAGGCATTGGTAAGCAGTAAATAAATCTGTAAGGCTATTTACCAATCTGTTCTGTTGAAGTTTGTAAACCTCTTTGGTTTTGTTCTGATTGAAAAGAGCATTTTTTTCTCAGTTTTCTGTACTTGGTAGAGGTATGGAGTAGGACGTTATAAAATGATGCCAAATACTGTACTTTGGAAAATTTCTGCTACTTTTTTCTCATTTCTTTTACTATATTATCTAGAATCGTTTTGTTTATCAATGTAACTATAAACTAGTTAAAGAGTTTAAACATCTGTGTTTTCCCTCTAATCTTGAAACCTTCCCTTATTGATCGGGGTATTGGTGCTCTGTTCATTCAATTTATGATGGAATCTACCGGAGCATCAATTGTTTTGTTCCCCATCAAATCTATTTCTTTTAAGAGGTCAAGTACATATATCTTTTGGGAAATGATAATATCCAATTTATTTCTAGCAATCTCAATGCTAAGGAAATATCCAAATCATCAAGATTTTTAATTTCAAACTCTTTAACTAGTTTTTTTTTTTCAATATGCTTATTTGAGAATTATAATCTCCAATTACGATGATATTATCATGATGTACAATTAGTATGCTTGACTTACAATTCTTGTGTTTGTAGGATAATGTGTGATCTAAATGAGCTTGTTTAAAATCTTGTTCGCACACAATTTTGGTGAGCCTTTAGGACTATTAGCCTATTAGGTGATTACTTGAGTTCATGAATAAATTTCTTTAATTTTCATACTTGACCTAAGTTCTTAGAGCGCATGGCTCCTTGAGGTAGATCTATGTAGATTTCTTCATTTAAGTCTTCATCTAAAAAGCTTTCTTGACATGAAGTTGTTGAAGAGGCCATCTAAGGTTTGTTTCCATTGAGAAGAGAACCCAAATTGTCTATGTTTTGCTGCTGAAGCAAAGGTTTCTAAGAACCTCATAAATTTTGTTGAATCCTTTAAACACAAACTATGCCTTATATCTTTCAATGGTTTTATCTAATTGATATTTGACTGTGATTTTTCATTAACATCAAATTGGAATATCAATATTGGGTTTCTAAACAACATTCCATATCACATATTTTTCAAAGGTCTTCATTTCATCTTCCATTGCCTTCCTCTTTATTTGATCATGATTCTCATCTATAGCCTTTGGGATTTTAGTTTGTGCTAAATTGGAAAGTAGAGTTTTTTTTAGGAAGGACATGTGATCATATCTTACAATATTTGTTATAGGATGTTGAGTATAGGAGCATGCTCCCTTCCTTAAAGAAATTGGTAGTTCTTTAGTAATATCCGATTGAAAAATATTTTGATAGTACTAGAGTTCGAGAGAGATTTGCGACGTGTTTCAAGAGGTTGCGGGGGTTTCTACTCTTCGTACATTCTTACGTTAATCAGAATGTTATGGGAAAGATTGTTGAGCATTTTGGTAGGGTACATAAATAAGACTTCTTTAAGTTTCTTCTAGAGTTTGAGAGTTGGGAACTTCATCAATTTCCAAATTGTTGACTCAAGGAAGATTATAATCCTTATTGGTATGTATAGGATTGAGAAACTCCAAGAAACAAAAAAATAAAATGTACCAATCTTTCCTTGATGGGATTGTTTTTTGGAAGTGGTTTTCGAAAAAGGTGAAATCTTCAGAGAAAGGTTGATAGCTTTGTAAGGTTCATGTTTAAAAAGTGTTTTGGTGTTTGGCTAGTTGGAAAACTTCACAATAAAAGAAATCTTTACTCTTTAACAAAGAACAGAGCAATTTCTTAAGATAAGAATAACTAGAATGGCCTAAACCTATAACGACACAACATTATTTGATCTTTTATGAAAGGAGGATGAGATTCTAGTTTATAATTGGGCAACTTTTTTTGAATTCCTCATCAAAGTAGTATAGTTCTCCAACTTTGCTAACACTTTTGATCCTCTTACCCCATCTTTAATCTTGAAATTCATGTGTTTTTGTGAGAAAGCATTTTGCAATCACAATCTTTAGAGATTTTCTTACAAGTGAAATATTAGGAAATGTAAGGCAAATTTTAGGAGGTTAATTCCAATGGTTATAATTCCAACAATAGAAGGTAGAGACTCATCAACAATTTTGGCATTGAGATTTTCAGATGAGGGGGTGTAAGATGAGAATAGATACACACAAAATGCCATATGATATCAAGCATTTGAGTTAATGATCAAGGATTCGTGACCTTCTTTCATACAGGTACCTTTTTAGGCTTTAGAGAGGAGTTGAATTTTTTTTTTTCATGAGTAATTTATATAGGAGGTCCAGTTGCTCTTTGTTCAGAGAAATGAAACCCATGCTATCACCGGATTTCACTTTCCAACCCTAAATTTTTGTTTGCTAGGCATAAGTGTCTTTGTATTGATTTCTAGGATTAGATATATTATTCCAATGAGCAAGCTTTGCTATAAAGTTTCATTAAAAAAAAAAGAAAAAATCTTGTGTAATTGGTCTTTTTAAAGACATTACACCATATAGATTGCCTATGCTTCCATGCATTGAGTCATTTCTTTGATTTTACTCCAAACTTTTGATGGCAAGGGCTTACATTTCATTTTGGAGAGGAATTTTGGTAATAGCAAGCATAATCTCTCTCAGTTTTCTTTCTTTTGAACTTCAACAAATACTACTTCATTATTTTGTAGTAGTCAATTCCTAAGAATCCTTGTTTGAACATTATCAAGATCTTTTATTGAGATACCGACAAAGAAATTGTAGGTTTTGTTTTTTACACAAGTTTGATATTCTTCGCCACACACTCAAAATAATCATTTGGCTCAAATATGTTCATTCCTGCCAACTTTTTGTTATTGTGGTCAAATTTTAAGTGACATGCATGCTCTCTTGAGGTCACGTGCCTGAACTCATAGTTCACATAAAGGCTTAAGATTGTGTAATTAGGTAATGAGGTATTGTTTGTCTATGAGGTGCATAAAGTGTGAATTGAAAAATAATATATTAACATCATAACTTATTAACATATTAAAAAGTAATACTTCAACATCCTAACATAGTAAGAAGTAATAAATTATGTAGAATTTAAAATGAGTTTAACACAATAAATTTATCGCTCCCACTCATATTACTCTTCTTCAAATTAAGAATATAACTAGTAATTTGCACCATAATTGTAATAAAATCAAAAATCCCCATCACTCTCCGAAGAGATGTGGAGGAATAGGATTTCCTTGTGGAGGAAGATAGCTAAGGTGGCAATAGCTAAGAAGGAGGCTGTGGCTTGCATGAGAAGGACCGGAGAAGAGAGTGCGTATGAGAGGAGCCAAGCTCCGGTTCGGGTATATCATGATATTGAGAGATTTTGAGGAGTGAGGCGTAAGGGATAGGATGAGTTAATAGAATGTTTTATTAATTAAATTTATATATATTTGCTATAAAAACTACTCTAAATTGCACACGCTTCACATGAATAGGCATGAGGCCTGAGACTCATGGTAAAATTTTCAAAAAAGTGCTATGGTGTGCCTCATTTTGTATAATTTTAAACAAAGATTAAAGTACACTATATTATCTTTCTCCTGAATTAATTTTATGATGTTGTGAACAAGGTATATGGATCCAATTTGATAAGTCAGGATACCACTAGAGCCCTATTTTTTTCCACGTTGGGAAGAAAGGATCACCTGCTTTATGTTTGTTCAATGATGACATTCTAATACTTAATGTTTTCCCTTCCCATTATCACAATTTCAACAGAGCAAGATCATTGGTAGTTCTTCCCAGTAGCTTGTAAAATGTAATTTGTAGAGGAGACATTTAGATTGAGGGTATGGCTTGGTAAGGAAGAGGAAGAACCAATCTTCACCCCAACTTTGCTCGACCCAATTAGGGTCCTCTTGTAGCAGTCAGCCATCGTTGCTTGACCCAGTTAAGGCTTTGATACCATGTTAAAAAGTAGAAGTAAATGGACAGAAGAGAAACAAGCATAATACAATCGTCATTTCATTTTAATAACAGATTAGAGAGGAAATAACTTGTTCTCTAGTAAAAAATCTGAATTTCTATGCTAGGAAATACAGGTTATATATATTGAAAAAAAGCTAGAAGCGGTGCAGAGAGAATACAACAACTTACTCCCCTTTGAAATCCTTTCAAACTTGGAGGCTACGGTCCATAAGTAGCAACCACCCACCAGCCATCTTTCGATCTAGAGAAAACCATCCGTTGCTAGCCGCCAGCCAGATTTCCTTCCTAAAAGAGAACCGAGTAATGTGGAATCTCGCTACATGATTTCCATTTGGGCAAGCACTGATTTCTGTAGCAGTCTGCAGCACGGACACTTTCCAGTTCAGGAGAAATCACAATAAAACTTATACCGCAGTAGGTTTTCCTCAGATTCTATCTAAATATATGAAGTGGTACTTTATTTGTATTTTGTAAGTATTTACTTTCTTGATGTTCCCATGTTTTGGCAATGAACTGGTCTAAATTTTTTACTTTTTATAATTATTATTGAGTAGATCTAAAAAGGAATATATGGAGTTTAATTTTAGTAGTAATAGACCTAGTGAGGGGATTGTGACTTTGGGCGATCAAGTCATTAATAAGAGTATACGTTTTAGGTATCTTGAATCTATTGTTCAGAGTGATGGTGAAATTGATGGGGATATTATCAGCAGAATTCAAGTTGGATGGTTGAAGTGGAGGAATGGGGCTTGTTGTGTGATAGAAAAGTACCCCTCAAACTTAAGAGAAAATTCTATAAGATGGTAGTGAGGCCTGCAATGCTTTATGGTGTTGAATGTTGGTCATTAAAAGAGAAGCATAATACCAAGTTAAGTGTGGCAGAGATGAGGATGCTCATGTGGATGAGTGGCTTTACCCTTAGAGATAGGATGCGAAATGAGCATATTCGTGAAAAGGTTAGAGTAGCTCCAGTAGAAGATAAGATTAGAAAGAGTCGCCTTAGATGGTTTGGTCACATAAAACGGCGGCCTTCCAATGACCCGGTTAGGAGAGTAGAGGTATTAGATT